GGTAGGTTCTTTCACTTTTTATTCCTTACCTCTTTCATTATCTTATATGGCTGTATAATGTAAACGCTGGATATTGTTTTAATTAAAAAATGAGGCTTATGACAGGAAAGTCAGACTTTTGTTAACCTCTGTTCAGTGTATTTATATAAGAAAGATCTTATGACAGAATTTCAAAGACTGTTGCGTTATTGCATTTGGAAAATGCTTGTGAGGAAAATGTATAGGCACTTAATGACAACTCTAGATGAAAGTTTTCCTTTAAAAATATCCTTGTTGATTCGGCATGAGTTGTGAAACTGAACATGTTCAGAAACTAAATTCTCTTTTCTTAAGGCTTAGACTTTTTCCTGAGAGTGATGATAATGTATTTCATTTATTTGTGATTTTAAATGTAAGAACGTTACCTATAATGCAGAATGTTTCTAAGTGGAGGTGGGTTGAAAAGAGACATCTCTTTCCAGAATTCATTCCACAGATAATTATTGAGTGCATATTTTGTGGGTAGGTACTGTTGTGTGTGTTGTGGACATTCTAGTGTAAAAAGTACATATTCTTATATTTGTAAGTTACATGGCTCACTGATCTTCCTGAGATAAGGGTTTGTCCATGCTTGGGGATGTGTAGGTGATGCTTCATGGTAAGGAAATGCCATTTAATTTTTGTATATGAACCAACATAATGAACACTGGATTTTCAGCTGCCTTTGATGTGTATATCTGGAACAGAGCTGTACTTTTCAATCATAAATAAGAAAATAGATCATAGTTTTTGATTCATGACTCTCCATAGTGGCCCAGACATTACCTGTTATTACGAGACCTACTTTGTTTTACGTGGACAAACTTTGAGGATAACATAGGTAAGATTTATGATCCTCTGTAAACACCTTCAAAATGGATTTGGGAAATTGGGAGTAGGTTGAAAGTGTCTTGTCCTAATTGTGTGTGTGTGTGTGTGTGTGTGTGTGTGTGTGTGTGTGTGTGCGTGCATGCCCTTTTATTTTTTTTGAGACCAGAGGTATTCTAATTTCAACTCTATTTCGCAGCAGGATGAGCCAGTGCCCCCAGTCATGTAAGAAACAACTAAGGTTCTTAGAATGTGACTATCATACACAGATGACCTAGTAAGATGCAGGATGCTCTAAAGGAAAGAGTGGTATCAGACTCCTGTGAGTCAGGAAACCAAGGGTCTGGTCTGTTTTACAACGAATTGGGTGTGTGACCTTGAAAATGGTCTAACCCTAACTCTGGGTAGTATTGCCATCTTAACAATATTAAGTCTTCCTGTCCACATCTTTCAATTTATTTAGGTCTTTAATTTCTTTCAACATTTTAAAATAATTTTCAAAGTACAAGTTTTGCACTTTTGTAAAATTCATTCCTGAGTATTTTATTCTTTTTGATGCTATTGTATACAAGTATCTTTTAAACTTTTTTTTGTTTTTTCATGTGTATACCTAATACCTCTCCCCATCCCTATTCTCTACCCCTTGTACCTCTTCATCCTATTTTAATTCCAGTATTCCACTGATACCATGAACATTCAGAAAACATTTATTCAACTTCTGTCAGCAGTCATCTGGCATGTTTATTTTGTGTCAGGTACTGTATGACAGGTATTAGAAAAGTAGAGTTGATTGAATATTATGTGTTTTCAATGAGGAGATACAGACTTGGTATCTAAGATGTAACACTTATGTAACAGAAGTGTTATAGAAGGAGGAGGGATCAGGGAGACTTTTTAGAGAAGGTAACATTTAAGCTTGACTTTGAAATATTGGTAAGGATTTAACAAACTTGGAAAGTCTTTCTATTTAGTCGAAATAAGGTAAATGAAATCAGGAAGGCATAAAAAGTACCTGGTGGTTCTTAAGAGGTGAGTGGGCTTGTGTGGTTAGTGTCAGATGGGTGAGGGAAATGACTGAGGATGACCTAGGAGTGTAGAAGAGTCTGATGGTGACAGGTTTTAATAAGATGCTAAGGATGTCATGGGGACTGGAGACCACTGAGCAGTGGGGGAGATGTTTTTTTTGAATCAGGAATGATGATTAGATCTGTAGTTTGGAGAACTGACTCCAGTGTTTGCTGAGGGGGGATTGCAGCGAAGGGATAACAGGGGCAGAGTGACCAGTTAGGAGCTGGCTGGCTTCAGTATCCAGGGAGAGAAGCAGTGGACCTTGGACTCTGCCAGGGGATTCTGTTTGATTCAGGGGGTGTGATGGGGAGGGAGGGGAGTTCAAGATAATTTTGGGTTGCCTCATTTGGTTTATTAGGTGAATGGTAACCTCCTGTGGTTCTTCGCTTTTTGCTGCTGTTGTTTTGCTGTTTTAATTGTTAAAGGAGTTTACATAGGCATGATTGAACTCAGTCTCCAGCCCCCTCCCCTTTCTCAGAGGAAGCCAAGCTGATGGCACCTGGCTCAGAACCCCAGCCCTCTAATCACAGGGTTGCTGTCTCTGGTTTGGCAGTCCTGGTACTGGGCTGCCATGAGCACTACGTACGAGCGGTACTGAGGGTTCATGAAGAGCCAAGACACTCCTTGGATTTTGAGTCTCTCTCTCCCAGAAACCAGGGACAAAGGTCTGTCACCTCTGTATTATCCAGCACAGCCCAGACTTGTTTAGCTCACTCTGCCAGCACCCACTTCCATGTTTCCAGATTCTGTGGCTAATCTGCCAGTATCTGGATAGTCACTTCTGGATAAAATTTAAAACTCCCTCCCCCTCTTCCCAGATACACATCTGCCTATTTGCAGCCTTATTACCACTTCTGTTAAACCAACGGTCAGTTCTTACATTAACAGGACAATATAAATCTCTTTTCTTTTGCCTCTTTTGAAAGTTTCAAGAGCTGTTATTCTTGGATTGATTCCTTTTCATGGCATCCTGTTCTTTTAGGCATAAAAGTTTTCTCCTTCTGCAGATATTTATTTGGGGGTCAAAGTTTACAGTACTTTTGAAGTGTGTGTGTGTGTGTGTGTGTGTGTGTGTGTGTGTGTGTGTGTTTCCTGTTATCCACTGTGTTAATTTGCTGGGGCTGCCATAACAAAGTACCATAGGCTGAAACAACAGACATGTGTTTTCTCATGATCTGGGGGCTAGAAGTCCAAGATCAAGGTGTTGGCAGGGCTGGTTTCTCCCGAGGCCTCCCTACTTGGCTTGGAGATGCCACCTTCTCCCTGTGTCCTCACGTGGTTGTCCCTCTGTGTGTGTCTGTGTCCTCATCTCCTCTTCGTATAAGGACACTGGTCCTGTGGGATCAGCGCCCATCCTAGTGACCTCATTTTACCTTAACCACCTCTTTAAAGTCGCGATCTCTAAATACAGTCACATTCTGAGGTCCTGGATTAGTACTTCAATGTAATTTGCAGGGAAGCACTGTAGCCTGTAGCCTTATCTCTGTTTCCTCTGGACCTTTTTTTAATTTTTTTTAAATTTATTTGTTTTTTTATTTTTGGCTGTGTTGGGTCTTCGTTGCTGTGTGCAGGGCTTTCTCTAGTTGTGAGCGGGGGCTACTCTTCGTTGTGGTGCGTGGGCTCCTCATTGTCGTGGCTTCTCTTGTTGCAGAGCACAGGCTCTAGGCGCGCGGGCTTCAGTAGTTGTGGCGCGTGGGCTCAGTAGCTGTGGCTCGCGGGCTCTAGAGCTCAGGCTCAGTAGTTGTGGCGCGCGGGCTTAGTTGCTCCACGGCATGTGGGATCTTCCCGGGCCAGGGCTTGAACCCGTGTCCCTTGCATTGGCAGGCGGATTCTTAACCACTGCACCACCAGGGAAGCCCTGGATCTTTTTTTTTAATCTGACTATCATCTCTCGCTCACGTATGTTCCTTGACCACCTTACAGTCTTTGTCCTTGTGCCTTTTAGGATGAGGCTGTGACAGCTGCTTGTTTAGTCTATGCATGGGCAGAGTTGGTCTGTATATGCTTTTCCTTGGGTGATGTGGCTGCAAGTAGTCCTTTCTGGGAGGACCCTTCCATGTTAGAGTCTTCGGTTCTGTCTTTCCAGGGCTCCTTAGTTTCTCCAGAGTGATTCTTGTTACCCGGACAGAGCGGAGTTGGGTGAGAGGGTTGGCGCCCTCCTCTCTGTGCCTGGTGTCTGTCCCTCAGTCCTGGTCCCTTCTGTTTGGTTTCGTGAGAGATTGAACTGATCTGGCTAACGGTGGGGTGAAGGCAGGGGCCACTGTCTAACTTCGCTCTGTGAAAAGACAGACAACCAGCAGCTGTTTTTCTCTGAACCCACCCTTCCCTTGTCTTCTGGAGCATCTGAAGCCTCGAGCACTTGAGGAGTTCTGTGGGTTTATTAGTGAGGTTTTCTCATTTCCTGGTTGCCTGCTGTGCACTAGGTGCTCTGCCCTGCTGGGATTATGTACCTGATCTTTGTTGTAGCCTTATGGAAGGTTCTGTTACTGGCCGCAGTGTCCGTATATGAAAACAGAGGTTTGGAGCGGAATTAGAGCACCAGGACTAGAGCTCAGGGCATCTGAACTCAGAAGCTGCACTTCTGCCGGCTCCGCACTGGGACAGTTAGCAAGTCTCTGCTTCTGTCTCAGTGTCGAAGATGTCAGTGTATTGATTTGAGCACATTTAAAAGAGTTGCTACACTAAGTCTAACACAAAAATAAAATGAAATTCAGTATACCTATGAGAATGGAGATGTTCTTTAATTTTATGAATCTGATTAGTTCAGAATGTGCTCCTTCAGGAGCTTCCAGCATATACTTTGGGTGCAGCAGGTGGTGGCATGGAGCTCAGGGGGACCTTAGGTTCTGTCTGTCCTTGCATCAGAAGTTTATGTTCTTGATGTCTCCCTCCCAGTACTAGCTAGTGTCCTTAGTCACCTTCATGTGCAGGAATTGTTGGCAGACAGGCTAACTGACAGCTAAAAAACCTGGCGCTGTATGTTTGCAGAATACTGCTGTGTTTTGGTACTGAATGTCTAGTTCTGGTGTTTCTAGTTGCTGCTCATCTCAGTTGGCACTAACCCTTTTTTCCTTTCTCTTCTACAGATTACTTCTGTAGCTTGACCTCTACTTTCCTCAACAAGCAGAATGTCTCGAACACGACAACCCCCGCTTGTGACAGGCATCTCTCCAAATGAAGGAATCCCATGGACAAAGGTCACGATTAGGGGAGAAAACCTGGGGACTGGGCCAGCTGACCTCATAGGTAAGGGCAGGGACGATGCTGTGTGTTCATGGTGAATGCATTTTTATGTTGGGCAACTGAGGCAAGATATACTATTTTGAAATAGTGAAGGTGATAGAAAAACACCCCTGAGGTCTGTACAGGATGATCTGAATAGAAATGAAAGAATTATTTGGTTTTCTGATTTTTCTGTTAAAATCATTATTTTGTCAGATCTTGCCTGTATTGTCTTTCACCTGGTCATTGAGAAAGCCCCCCACAGCCGAGGTTTGCCTCCTTTCCTCGGGGTCGGCCTCTCCTGCCAAGACTGCCAAAACAGCCGCCCAGCTCTTCTGGCCTCCCCTCATACCGCTGTCTGTTCTTCTCAGGTGCCGGGTGAGCTAGGCCTCTTCTGTTCCTTATTGCTCTCGGAACCAAATCTAAACTCCCTCCACCCAGAGGAGCCTGTGCGCTCTGCCGGGCCGCACCGTGGGACCTGTGGGCATTTGTCTACACCCGATGCCCATTGCGGCGGGAGCACTGAGCCTCCAAACTTAACAGCCACAGGCTCTCTGCAAACTCACGCCCGCCCACGGTTTGCATTAGGCTCCCCTAATGTTTACATATTTAGAGCAAGCTACGTTTTAGTTTTTAGGATCAGTTTATGCTGTTTATCTTTATAAGCCCAAGGACGCGAGCAATAGAACACTGCATCCACTTGGCACTGCACGAGTTTTTTTGATTTTGGTTTGCAGTGTGCCCCCTTCTTCTGGGGGAGACCCTTTCCTGCTGGTTGTTTCATTATTCTGGTCTGTCAGTGGTTCTCACCTGGCTTGTCTTCATCTTCTCTAGAACTTAACAAAATGCTCTTGCCTTAGCTGCTAAGTCTCAGTCTCTAAAGATGGAGCCTTATCATTGCTTTTTTAAAAACACAGATGAGTGTAAAGCACTGCCAGGATAGAGAGCAAACCATAAATATCAGTGTGTGGTCAGTTTGGGTTATTTTCATGTGAACTCTGCATGAGGGTGTGCAGATACATTCAGAATAAGAGAGCGGGGAGGCAACTCAATATGTGCTGCTGAATGAGTATTCTGATTTCCCACATGTTAATTTATTTGGATTCAGACATTCATTTGACTCATTTCTCAATTCATGAAGGACCCCTTGGTAAATACTAGAGATTATGAGTTAGAGCTTGTTTTTCTTGCATTATAGCTGCTGGTTGACACATTGTTTTTTGGCCATCCAGAAATCCCTTGGAAAAGAGAAGGTTGATTAGAGCTGGGCACCATGTTTAATTACTGAGTCTTGCCCTCCCCAGCTCGTTCTTTTCACTAGTGTTACTTAACTGTGTCTCATTTTATACTGTTTTCTCTAGCCACAGTTTTTGATTCTTCAGTAAATAAAACTTAAGTTTATTATCCTTATGAAGGTAGTCTGTCTTATCCTATGTCTTGGTTCTTGACAAAGCTCATTCCAGGTTGTTCTTTATCCAAAGTGGAAAAATCCCTAGAATTCATGGAAATAGACCATCTAGATGGAGGTTCAGTTTAACTGGCAGTCACTGAGCCCTCACACGTGACTGCTGCCCGTCTGTGTGGATGCTGATCTCTCTTTAGCTTCAGGCAGCGCGATTCCTGTTTGACTGAGTGCGCACGACTTTTATAAACCTGCTAGTTCCGCTTTCAGCCTGCCCATGTATTGCCAAGAAACCACTTTTTAAAAAAGCAAACTTAACCTACTAAATAATTTAAGCATTTTTATAACTCCGGTGACATCTACACTAGCCAAGTAAAATACTACAAAAACACTTTATTTGGAATTCTACAAGTTACTTAAAAAAAAAAAAAAGATGTTATATTTCATGAAGCAGATTTCTTGGCAAAACATGTTTAAGAAATAGATCGTATGATCTTATTTAATTTCCATGCATTTAAAATGATCTGTTTAAATCTGTGTTTTAAATTATATGGTGATTATTAACTTTTTTAGTTAAAATGCAGAACAGATATTAAATGAGGAACCTCGATAGCAGCTACAACGAGATGAATAAACTGTTATTCCGGGTGCTTTTTCCCAAAGTTCCATCATCATGGATATCATACATGTTTGCTCATCTGAACATGTTTTTAAGACTTTATGTCTGTATATCTGAAATCTCCCATTTCTCAGTTTTAATCGTAAGATAGCTCCCCAGCAGGGGACTTATATTAGGAACTTAAATACATTAAGTCCTGACATTGGGTTGCGTTATTTCCTTTCTAAAGTTAGTATTTAAATCACAAAAATGTTTTTGATATTGTAAAATTTAAAAATATCAAGTTATGTATTGACCTGGAGTGATATTGAAATATATACCATCTATAACTAAACAGTTCATAAATTAAAACATTTCCCATTTATATAAAAAAATACATAGACTGATTTATGTGTACATAAAAATTATTAGAGCACTGTATGTATTGAAGTGTTTCACAGGCTTACCTTGGAGATGGAGAGGAGTTTCAGGGGGTGCTTTCAACCTCTTAAAAGGCTTAAATTTTTCATAATAAAAGTTGAGTATCAAGAAAACTAACAAACACTCCCATTTTGAAAAATAATTTTGAATTATGAATGCATTTAAAAATGTGTAAATGTCATTACACATTTAAAAAGCCAATGGAAAACTTAGTCCTAAAGGAACTTTGAAGTGCTGTCATTAGAAAAACTGAATTCCTTACATGAATAAATAGTAATGTCTTAGGGAAATCTCTGAAATTAATTATTTCAATAAACATCTTTAAAATGGAGTTGTTTTTATTCCTTTATGGTTAGTATAACATTCTTACTAAATAGTGCTTTAAGTTGTAACGAAAGATGACTTGAATCCCTCCCTACATTTTTTCAACCGAATTTGGCATAAGTTGAGGTGTTCCTGGTATCTGATTGAAAAAACAAAACAAAAAGCTTGCATTTGCTAAACTTGACTGCCGAGCAGTATCAAAAATTAAATGGTGAGAAAAGAAAGTGCGAGTGTCTGGGTGTTTGCTGAATACACTTCGGTCTATTTTCTCCATGAATGTTTATTACATTGGTCTCTGTTTAGCAGAAATGCACGTGGTGGGATGGTGGTCCTCTGCCTGGGGCCACGTCTTCCCTGTCTGCATCGCAGTTTACGTGGGTCTGGGCAGAGATGCCAGGCGTGGGCTGAGATTTTGGGAGCAGAGTGTAGTACAGCGACAGGACCATGAGGGAAACATTTAGGCAGCGTGGACTGCCGTTGCAGGAGTGATGTACAGACATGAAAAATGCACTAGTAATCCAGTAATGCCTGAGAACATTTACTGATTTAACAGACTTCAGGCTGTGCTTAACATAAACTACAAACTTTAGTTCATTCTGTAGTATCATGTATAATTGAACACTAGGAAAAGTATGTGTGGATTATTTTCAGGAAGATGATAAATTTTTTTTTAGGGAATGATGTACACATTTATTAATACGCTTTAGAGCTTTATAGCACGAACTTGGACTTCTAAAAATAACAATAATTTCCTTTCTAATACCTATGAAAGCAATCTAAGATTCTCATAGTTAAGTAATCTGGAGTGCCTAGACATTATTATGGTTATTATTTTCTAATTCCAATGATGTTTGAAGACACTTAAATATAATCTAAAAGAAGTATTAAATATTAGAGAAAAAATAGGCAAATTCAGTAGAGACAGTCGTTTATTTGCAAATGATATTGGGTATATTCAAGAATAGAAATAACTAACTGATGAACCAGGAAATGCTATTTCTAGTTCTGTTTTTCAGTTCAGGAAAAAGGCCTGGCGATACTGACAGAAGAATTGTCTTTTCATGAAATAGCTGTTCTTTGGACTTTGTTATGTGCATGCATGTTTTTACTTTCAGGTCTGACAATTTGTGGGCATAATTGCCTTCTGACAGCAGAGTGGATGTCTGCGAGTAAAATTGTATGTCGCGTGGGACAGGCCAAGAACGACAAAGGAGACATTATTGTCACAACCAAGTCAGGTGGCAAAGGAACCTCCACAGTCTCCTTCAAGCTGCTCAGACCTGAGAAAATAGGTATCATCTCCCATGACTTTACTCTAAAGAAGAAAATAAAAGTGGGTTTTGTTTTTAAAACTGACAACTGGTAAATTAGTATAAAATTTACTTACTCTCATATGTCATTAACTTAGATTCAGTTTATGTTTATTTTTTCAGGAATGGGATATTGGTTAAAGTCTGAATTACTTTTGAAAAGGCAGTTAGCTGAGCTGACGGTAAACCCTAAGGATGCTAACTAATCATTAGAACTGCTGTTCTGTCCTGTATAAAAGCTGTTCATGTAACACGTCCGAAATGCCGATTTTAGTTTCTTGATCTTGAATACCATAATTGCATTTCCTGCTGTGATACAGATAAGATTTGAGGTGAAATACATACCTGGTTTGGCCAAATTAGCCAGTAATGCCTAAATAATGTTCCGTGTTCCTTCACTTTCTGCGTCCTTTGAGGCCCCGACAAGATGTTGCCCACCTAGGTGTGCCTCTGGCCTCCAAACTAGAAATCACACTCTTCTTGTGCCCTAGAGCCCCTCCTGTGTTCCCTTTGTGCCCTTAACCCGTGCTTCCTCACCTTGGGGCACAGAGCTTGGTCTGAGAAGCTGGGACTCTGATCACACGAGCAGCCAGCTGTGGGTGGAGTGGAGTCACAGAATCACCTACCTCAGAGGATTGAATGAGTTAGAACATTGGAGAAAGTGCTTAGCATAGGTCCTCACACAAACTAAGGGCTCCATAAATTAGTGTTTTTAATTATTCGTCTCCTAGCTCTTTATGTATATGGCATCTCCTCTGCTAAAGTAAGAATACTGTTAGATTCATCTTTGTGGTCCTGTAATGACTTGCACATGGTCAGTACTTAATAAATATTTGTGTAATGTAGGACTATCACAGGCATAATTAAACCCAGGCCTTCTCTCATATAGAAAAGCAAAGAGTTTTGCAAATTTTGTTTTCTGTCTTAGAGCATAAAGCCTTTCTTCAGCATTATATCCTTAAATTCCTTGATTCTTTTTAATAAAAATTTGAGGAACTTAAGGGAAAACCAAAAATGGAATTTACATTTATGTACGTGTGTGTATGTAAACGTATGTACATATATATACATACAATATTTTTGTTTTTGTTTACTCACTTTTATTTAATGTCTTTGAAAACCGAACTGTGAAATTAAAGCAGGAACTTGTTTCCAGTTTTCTGGAGGAACTTAAAAACATTTTGACAGAATCTAGCATCATCTTGTATCATGTTTGTACAGCAGGTGAAGAAAACTTATTTGAAAGTATTGATTTTATGCTAAAACGCTCTGCCCAGGACTTAGCACAGCACAGGCTCAGGAAAGGCCTATAGATCTGAACCTGGGAGTGTCTGGGCCTGAGCTTACCCTCTGACAGAGCTTCCTTGTGTCATCCTGGTAGACCTGTGGGTGCCCATAGAGTTAGAAGGCTCACGAGGAGCCCTCTGGTCCCCCGGCCCTGCGCTCTACTCTGCTCCCTCGCACACTGCCCAGCCTCTGTTTCAGCCCAGTCCGAGCCACAGGAAAGAGGGTACTGTGTTCAGAGATTATATTTTGTTTTTCCTGAATATCCTAGTCATTTCCATCACACAAGCCGCGCATTCCGTGGAAGGTGTTTGGTTTCTTTATATTGATATAAGGATTGTTGGGTGTTCTGTTGATGTACCAAATTAATTGTACTGCTTATTATTTGTAAAATACATTTGTTTTAGAGAACTTTTTCTCAGAGGCTTAACTTGTCTTCTGTATTGAATAATGTACAGTGCAATCAAGAGGTGTTATTTTTGCCTTTCTATAGATTTTTAGTGGTTTTAATTAAGCTACCAGCCATTACAAAAAAAAAAAAATCTGGAGCTTTTGTGCCTTCAAATCTTTAAAAAATTACTGTAGCATGCATTCTGTATTAGGTGTTTCAACAGTAAAGCAGTATGGTAAGACTTAGTGCCTGGGGAGTGTGTATCTTATTAAGGCTGTGCTCCTCATTTGGTAGGTATTTTGGATCAGTCTGCTGTGTGGGTTGATGAGATGAATTACTATGACATGCGCACTGACAGGAATAAAGGGATTCCTCCCTTGTCCCTGCGTCCTGCTAATCCACTCGGCATCGAGATTGAAAAGTGAGTACCGCCTTGCGTCCGTTGTCTTTATTTCTAGCTGCTGAAAAGTTCTGTGCACTCAGTGAAGAGAGTCGGGCTCCAGGAACATCCAGGGAAGCACAGTTGAAGACACTCTGTTGTTGGGAGTCGGGCATCATCTCTAGGAGCTTGGTCAGCTTTGCTAGAGCGAACCTTCCAACTGGTTAGAACTGTTGGCGAAAGCTACTTACCTCTTCAGTTTTTGAGTTTACATTTTGTGAAGAGGAAAAGTATCTTGAAATTTTGAATAACTAATACTTTTAATGATATGAGAATTAACGGGTTGTCTGGAGGTGGTAAGTTTAAATATTTAGATGGTACTTGAGATTAAAACAGAATTTTCCATGTGCTTGATTTTTCAGGATATATTTGGCGGTAAGTAGAACCAAGGTAGTCTTGTCATTTTGTTTACAACCCCTGCCTGTAATTCATACTTAACTCAGACTGACTTTACCAGAGTTGTGGCAGGTAAATCTTACAGGATGTCTTGGACCAAATCTAGAGTTCCCTGTTCTCATTCCCTAGTACAGTGTTTTCGTAGATTTTATAATCAGTGCCTTTATCCGTGCAGCTTCCTTAGTCGGTTCACCTAACACGTTAGTTGTTTCTGACTTGTCTCTCGGCCTTAGTGACTCTGCTGGTGAAGTTACTACTGAGCGTTTCTCCATAAGCATTTCTGCAGGCGACAGATTAGTTCTGCTAATGCTTTAGCCATAGTTTATTTTAGGTTTTTCTAGGAATGGAGAAAGTTGTCCACTGATCTTTATATATTTAACCTTCAAGCCTACACTTGAAGACCATTAGTAAATCAAAAGTAAGCTTCTTTTTCACCTGCTGGGGTTTGCCCTGGCTGAGAGGGAGGGAGCACGTGTTTGTCTTGGGAAGTTGTCTTGTGTTGAAAAAGGCCTGGGGTTTGGCAGCTTTTAGTGAGCGAGGACTGTCCTGGGTCACAGCTGGGAAGCTCTTTGGCCAGCGTGGGTCATTCTGGAGCTGTTTTAAGGGTTTCAGTACCCGATAAATTAAGAGTTTAAGGATCAAGAAGGTCCAGGAAAGAAAAGTAATTGCTGGGTCTTTATTTGAGCATAGTTTCCTGCATGAATGGACTTTGTGGTTGAGAGTAAACCTCTCAGTGGCCTGCTTCAGTGGCCTGGATTCGGCTTCTTTCCAAGGCCCACCACAAAGGAAGTGTGGAGCAGAAGCGTTCTTTGGATTGTTCTTTTGTAAGGAAGATACAGTTTTGCACCCTTGTACCAGGATTATAGGAATATGGTGTGACTTCTGTCTGAGCCTTAGATGGAACTATCAAAGTTAGGATTAAATTGGTTATTTACTATCATAAAATGGATTTCCTTAATTTTTAGTTTAGCATGTAACTCACCCCTCGTTTGATCTCTTTACCTTTTCGTGTCCTCTTACTTTTTGATTGTCTTGATTGTTCCTGTTACTGCCGCTGCTCACACAGGGGTTCGGCTTGAACTCTCTATTACAGCTCTTTTTCTTAATACGTTTCGGGATAATCCCGAGGTAACGTTGGTAACCAGCCAGAAGCACTAAAAGTGCCTGGCTCTTTAGAAGTTGTTTTTCTTCTTCTCTGAGGCAGTCTAGTTGGGTCTGAGCCCCTCTCTCAGTTTAACTCTTGGCCCTCCCGTTACTTGCAGGGCGACTTGGAGTCTGCTCAGCTTCCTCAAGGTGCAGACTGGGCGGCCTGGGTCACGCGGCATGTGCGTTTCAGCGGTGGGGACGCTTACTCGCAGTGGGCGCTGGTTGGATGTTCGTCGTCGTCACCGTGATCCCCTGCTCTTCTTACATGTGCGCTACTCAGTGCTGTGCCCCCAGGGAAAGAATCTTCTCATGACTTAAGATTTCAGGGTGATGAATTGTATTCAGATCTTAAAATAGTATTATGTACATTCAAGAAGTGCTTAAATGGTGATAAAATTTACAGTAATATTTCTTTGAAGTTGTTACTTGAAAGTTTCAGAAATAATCTGCTTAGCCATGGAATAACTAAAGGATAGTTTTTGAAAAGGTAAAAGCTTGACTCGCATACAAATACAAAATGCGCACGTGTCCAAGCTTTTATTTAATTCATTAATTAATGGGAAAACCAGTGAAATGTTAAAACCAGTTCAGGGGGAATTCCAGAGGACAGACATAATGGGCAGTGAGGAATGCTGAAAGGTGCAACACCGGCCACTTCTCCTCAGTAACCAGTTGCATCTTCACCTGACACGTATTTCTGTGCCAGGCATCCCTGGTCACCATCAACCCTCCACTCTGCTTCTGTAACAGAGCTGCAGAGCAGAGACAAGGCATGGATGGGGGAAGATCAGGGGACCCTGGGCAGGCCCTCCAGACAGTGAAAGGATGGCCAGGAATCTTTTTGCCCATTTAAAGTCTTTCGCAAGTTTTCTGGTCAAAAGGAAGAGTGGATAGACGGCTTCCTTGGTGGCGCAATGGTTAAGAATCCGCCTGCCAATGCAGGAGACACGGGTTCGAGCCCTGGTCCGGGAAGATCCCCCATGCCACAGAGCAACTAAGCCCGTGCGCCACGACTACTGAGCCTGCGTGCTAGAGCCCGTGAGCCACAACAAGAGAAGCCACTGCGATGAGAAGCACGCGCACCGCAATGAACAGTAGCCCCCACTCGCCGCAACTAGAGAAAAGCCTGTGCGCAGCAATGAAGACCCAGTGCAGCCAAAAATAAAATAAATAAATTTAAAAAACAACAACAGCGTTCACTTAAAAAAAAAAAAAAGAGTGCATAGAGATACTAGGAAGCAAGAAAATGGAAGGTGAAGGTAGGAAAAGGTATAGAAACCAAGAAGAAGAGTATATAGTTTGGCCAGAAAAATGCTTTTCCAGGTTCCTTTTCACCTTTTAAAGATACTGTCAGGAAAACTGCATTTGTTTTATTGAAGTCTGACTTCAGATAGAGAAGCCTTATTTTAGAAAAAGAGAGTAGGAAAGGAAAAGCAGATGTTAAAATATTGGTGTGGGTTTTATTTCCCTGACTCTCTTAATATCTTTTAGATCAAAGCTTTGGTCCCTGTAGAGAATGGTGTTAACATTGAGGTTAGAATCCCTGAGAGCATTTCCTTTTACTATGTCTTTTATTTCTGTTTCTTAATGTCATTTGGGGTTTCTTTTATAATTAAAGGACGGGAGAGGACCTATTTTAAATTTTTAAAAAAATGTCATCAGAGAAGGAATAACAGGATTTAATTACTTGCTTGTTGAAATATACTAATTGAGAAGGTTTGAAGAATTATGACTGCTTGTTATAAAGTACCATGGTCCTGATGAATTACCAGACTAAAGTAGTGAGGTCGCTTTTGGAAGAGGAATCAGCTCCTGGTAATTACAATGCTGAGTGTTCATGGCAATTCTCAGCCCACAGTCAAATGCACAAGGTGGAGCCAGGAGGAGCCTTGCAGTGTTGTGGCCACTTCATGTGACCATGAGTAGCAAGCACGAGTAGCCGAATACAGTGTTGTTCTTTGGTGTGACGCAGAGTTTAATAAATGTTTTATTGGTGCGCTCGGTGTGCGCGCTGCCGTCTTTCAGCGCACAGGCTTAACACCTGGCGTTTATGGGCCTCCTTCGGCTGCTGAAGTTCTGCATATCCCTAGAGTTTTAACTGATGTTCTGCACACATGGTGCCTTGATACTTATAAAAATGTTACTAATTGCTCAGAAAAAAATAACTTCACTTTGAACTGAGACTAGGATTTGCTTGTAAAAAGTCTGTATTTCTGATTTACTATACTGTCACAAATACGCATTCTTTGCACTGCTTAAAATTATGATGGAGACAAACTTAACTGAAAAAGAAGGTAAAAACAGGTTCATATTAATAAGTAAAAGCCTTCACTCTGTTTTATTTCTTAAAAGTACTCTTTGCCTACTAGGAGAATATCTATAAGTAATGTTTTTGGAGACAGTACATACATGGGAGTTAGGGCCTTAAAATGGAGCTTTGCCCCTCCTGTTTTTATGGGATCTGCAACCTTTTTGTGAAATTACTACCTGGGAAGAGCTGTCTAGAGTAGTCAGTTGATGCACCACTAGTATCTTTATTTCCACAGAGGCTTCATGAACAATGCAGGTCTGACTTGCTCCTCATCAGTTTACTTTCCAGTACAAAGAAAAGGTGGCCAGTTTTCCTGCTCCATTTAGAAGACAAGGAAAGGTGACAAAATAATTCTTAGTATGAGTGTGGAAGGGAAAAAAGCCTTGGGTAAATTTTCAGAAATGTTATGAAAACAGATTTGTGGGCTGTGATGTAGTGCCTAGGTCCATAAACTGGACCAAAAAAGGAAAAAAAACACACAACGTAAAACAAGCTCATAATATTTAAGGTGCAGAGTAACACTGGTGCTGGAGTGAAAGCTATGAGAATTGAGTGTGACACACACTTGGAAGAGCCCCCTTTCCTCCTATCTTTCTACCTGCAGGTCAGGAGAGCGTGTTCCCCTTGGTGTGAGCACAGTGATGCAGCCGTACCCAGGCTCCTCTGCGCGGGTAGTTAGACTTTCTCTCAGAAGGGTTTTTGTTGTTTTGCTGGCTCGCGGGTCATCACTGCCAGTCGTTCTCGTACTTGAAAGTGAATGCTGCTGTGTTGAGAGCATTCCTGTTTTGCATCTGACCACTGGGTCAGTCAGGTCCGTGTACCTGGGGCTTCATGGCTAATCCTTTTTGGAAGGTGTAATCTGAGCTCACACTGCCATCTAATGGGGAGCTTGCGCTGTAGGGGCATGAAGCTTGTCAGCTACTGAAACTGTTGGTTCCTTAATGAAAACACTTCCCATGTTTACATGGTAGACTCTGTGTTGCTTTCATCCTCCAGTTAGTGGGTTTAGTTTGAATCACTCAGAATATACCTTGCTGTTACTGACTTGCTAAGCCATCACTTCACTTGGAGGGTCAGAGCCTAAGATCCAGTTATTGTGGACAGAGGTTTAAGTTTTAACTCTCCAGAC